CTGATTCAGAAGCGCCAGATTGTCATAGCAAAGTCGGAATTTACCCTTTTTTTTTTTTTTTTAGAAATAACCTTTGTGCACAGCCAGCCTTTGTACTCTTCTAGGTTCAAAAAAACTGTCGTCCATAAAATGCGTTGCACAAATTCGAACATCTGGGTTGTGCTGTTCTGTTGTAAATAAATCTTAACCAATGATTCCTAATTGCATCTACTTCCGGAAGGCCAAATAAAGTGCTTTTGCTTTCGCACTGAAACACACAGGGTCTCCCTGACTTGCTGCTTCAACACTAACTGCTGTTCTTGAAACCACGCCTTCTTTCTTTGCGTGCACATTTGGGCGGCAGTATGCTAATATTTCCACATAGTGACGTAGACATGTGGGGGCGTGTTAGAACGAGCCGTTTTAGGGGGGCGTGCCTGACTCTTAACTTTTACAAAGAATATCTCTTTGGATTTGAGACTTTAGTCTTTGCAACTTTACAGATCTTCTTTATGCACCAAGAGCTTGTGACACTCCAAAGAGAAAGGAAAACTTGAAATCGCATCATATGACCCCTTTAAATTTGACAAATTTTTAACTATTTATTGTATTTTATACAATATAGAAATAAATAAATGATGAACGCATTGTAGAAAGCATTTCTCAAAAAGGCCCTTTACATAACTAAAATAAAACATTTAGCCATTTGAAGAAAAATCATCCCTCTAACAGATAGTAGACAGCAAGCAGCAATTTTGTTTGACAAGGCTTGTTTTAAAGCCTGGTAGACCAAGAGCGAAGAAGTCATATATAAGACAGCGGACCACACAGAAAGGTTATACAGCAGTTTCTGAACCATACCCCCTCTCTTTTATCCCTCTCAAGGGCTCCATGCATAAACTCCATCGACACTTCCTCATTCTCAGCCAGCCACTGGAGAACAAATGGCAGAAACCACCTACAGATGGGAAATGAAAACAAAATATAGAGAAACAGGAGGAGGAATAAAGCAGGGGGAGAAAGAAAAACTTGAAATCGCATCATATGACCCCTTTAAATTTGACAAATTTTGAACTATTTATTGTATTTTATACAATATAGAAATAAATAAATGATGAACGCATTGTAGAAAGCATTTCTCAAAAAGGCCCTTTACATAACTAAAATAAAACATTTAGCCATTTGAAGAAAAATCATCCCTCTAACAGATAGTAGACAGCAAGCAGCAATTTTGTTTGACAAGGCTTGTTTTAAAGCCTGGTAGACCAAGAGCGAAGAAGTCATATATAAGACAGCGGACCACACAGAAAGGTTATACACCAGTTTCTGAACCATACCCCCTCTCTTTTATCCCTCTCAAGGGCTCCATGCATAAACTCCATCGACACTTCCTCATTCTCAGCCAGCCACTGGAGAACAAATGGCAGAAACCACCTACAGATGGGAAATGAAAAAGAAATGTAGAGAAACAGGAGGAGGAATAAAGCAGGGGGGCAGTGAAGCAGCAAGTGGTCAAGAGCATTTAAACAACAGAGGAAAGCATCAACTAGGGTCCCAGTCGATTTGAGACTGTAGGTGATGACAGTGTGTGAGTGAGAACATTAAACTACTCAAAAGAAGAACAAACTGCAGGTTATTTGAAGAAAAGAGAGAAAGGTGTAGCTAAAGATGCTCTGGAAGAGCGTGACTCACGATGGGTACTCTGGGACGGTGTCGGAGAAGGCGGGCAGGTCATGGACGTATTCGTTGTAGAGCCATTTGACTTTGAAATGCAGATTCATGTAGTCCGCACTTTTACACAACCTCAGCTTCTCATGCTCTGGGGAAACAACAAGCGTGAGTCGACGGATTTAATTTCATCTTACCTTGTCACGAATTTAACCCAGTAAACATTTACTCACCTTCGGCTTCAACAAATGTATTATTCAACAAGCTATAAACCAAGAATGAACTGATTATTCTATCTGAAAGTCCCTAGCTGTACTCACTCACAGAGGCTAATGATTAAAAATGCATTTTACACACACACTACGATTCAGAAGTTTGAAGGCTGTATGATTTAAAAAATATATATATAAATTAATACTTTTATTTAGCAAGGATGCATTGAATTGATCAAAAGTGACCATAAAGGATTACACATTGTTTCAAAAAAAGAATCGATTTCAAATAAATGCCTGTTCTTTTGAATTTTATATTCAGAATTACATTCCCAATGTAAAAATGTATAATGGTTTCCACAAAAATATTAAGCTGCACAACTGTTTTCAACACTAATAATAATAATAATAATAAAGTTGCTAATAAAATATTAAGCTGCACAACTGTTTTCAACACTAATAATAATAATAATTAATTTGCTAATAAAAAAAATCGACCATAAAAAGTAAACAAAAAAAATACAATAATAAAAAATAAAAAGAAATGGCTGCTAAAAATTCAGTTTTAACATAACAGGAATAGATTTTTATTTTACATTTAATTGTGATAAATTAAATGCAGCCTTGGGGAGACTTTCTTCAAATGCATGAAAAAATCTTACCACGCCGCAAACGTTTCTGAACAGTAGTGTTACATGTGCACACATAAACTCTCACAGAGGCTTAACCATACAGTATGTCTTACCAGCATAAAAATCAAGTCTGCGAATATGGAATGTGGCAGGTGCTAAAATCAAGAAAACAAGGCAGGAGAGAATGAAGAGATGAAGAACAGAAAAAAAGTACAGGTGTGCAATGAAAGATGTGGTTTCAAAAGAAAAGGATGCTGGCATCAAAAGGAAAAGATCATTTTTTCCAATGAGGAGTCTAACTCTAGTTTACTTGGAGGATCTAAAAGGAAACCAGGGGGTTCTATTCTCTAACTCTGCTGTAGCAATGAGAGAGTGAGGACTCGAGACCAAAAAGAGTGCTTTGAACCTTTAAAGGGGTTTTATCATCGAAAACAAGATTTGCTTTGCTCTTTTGAAATGAAACCTTAACAATGCAAAGCTCCCTCCCCTGCCCACACTGAAAATTATTAAAACTTAACTGCAAAAACAAGTCGATCATGTGCATAGTCACAAGAATGAGCACATTAACACAACACCGGCCATATTTATTATTCAACACTCAGTAATTTGGCCCACATAATTGTGGCGAGGTAGTAAGGAGGATGTAGGGTAGATGTTGTACTTGATCAACTTAACTCTACTAACATTCCACTTGGTATCAAAGCTATAGAAGCTGTTAAGGAGGCAGTGCCTAATATGTTGGAATCACAACTCATTTCAAGTGCAAATTCACATTACTTCTCAAAGGTACATTATAAAACGGAGAGTTCCGGTCCTTGATTCTGATTGGTTGAGCCGCGTTCGAAGCTGTTGTAAATTACACTACAAACACACACCTTTGTTTACTTCTGTGTGTTGCTCTGCAACCGCTTTGTTGGAACCACAACTGTTTCTGAGGAACTACATTGTTTGGTGGAAGAATACCGTTTTTATTAATAAAATAATGTAAATCATTACACTTGACTTGCTCTGTTTTATTTTGTGAAACCTTACTACATATATGGAATAACCATTTTATAAAAGCAATAAGCCCCGTGAAGCTGTGGTTTACAGTGAATTTATAACAGTTAAGGGGGTTTTAGGCACTCCGCATCACGTCGTGAACAACGCACCTTAGCTGTTATAAATTCACTGTAAACCACGGCTTCTTGGGGCTTATTGCTTTATTATGCCTCCTTTGAGGGAACACATTACTTAGCGTGCAACAGAGTGGTGTATTTATCTTGCATCTATAACAAGAAACGTATGCCCAAGTTCACACTCTCATGACTTCAAAAGGCCTTATATAGCATTATGACCTTTACCATTCTTCCAGTGTTTGTAGACGATATGATTAAGAACTGAAGACAAAGACAGATAGATAAAAAGGAAAGATGGAATGATGTTAGGAGTAATCTCAAATCAATTTGAAGTGAACACAGACACACATCAAAGGGGTCATGAACTGCCTTTTTTATTATTTTGTACTGTTCTCTGAGGTCCACTTACAATGTTATCAAGATTTTTACATCATTTAGAAGTAATAGGCTATTTTCTGTCCTGGTTTTACCCCCCTCATCAGAACGCTCCATTGGATTGTAGACGCGGAAGTAAATGCCCACAGATGCGATTGGCTAACAGTTGTGTATGTTTGACAGCCTACATGCTTTACAGATGGACGCTGCTGTGATTTAGGTTAAAAACGCATAAATACTCAGAACATATCAAACATATATAACAGACAAAGCAATAGCGATCACTTAATAAAAACACTTACTCACACGTGTGTGTTGATCCAATATAGTCGGAACAGCATCATCTTTTGTTTCAATCTTTCTAAAAATCCCAGTCAAATTGTGCTTTGTTTGTAAAGGAATCCACGATAAAATGAATGAACAAAGGAACAAGTTCTTACTGACGTGGTCTGGAACTTCATTAAAGGGGTCATATGATGCTTTTTTAAAGATCATTATTTTGTGTATTTGGTATAACAGAATATGTTGACATCCTTTAATGTTCAAAAAACACATTATTTTTCAAATACTGTACATTATTGTAGGTCCTCTATGCCCCGCCTCTCTCAAACACTTCGTTTTCTACAAAGTCCCTCCTTCTGACAAGCGCAGTCTGCTCTGATTGGCCAGCTGACCCAGTGCATTGTGATTGGCTGAACACCGCAAGCACTCGTCAGAAATGTAACGCCCCTTACCATAATCGCGAGCTTCATCTTTCAAAATAAATGTAAAGACAGAGCCCGAAAGGGGAACAGAGTCTCGTGACAGACACAGTGATGAAGCTGGTATGTGTTTGCAGTACACAAGCCACGGTTAAGACAGCTGACTCCACTGTGATGTGACCCTGTCTCTCACTCTCTCCCTCTCTCTCTCTCTCTCTCTCTCTCTCTTGTAGACGATATGATTAAGAACTGAAGACAAAGACAGATAGATAAAAAGGAAAGATGGAATGATGTTAGGAGTAATCTCAAATCAATTTGAAGTGAAACCAGACACACATCAAAGGGGTCATGAACTGCCTTCTTTATTATTTTGTACTGTTCTCTGAGGTCCACTTACAATGTTATCAAGATTTTTACATCATTTAGAAGTAATAGGCTATTTTTACCCCCCTCATCAGAACGCTCCATTGGATTGTAGACGCGGAAGTAAATGCCCACAGATGCGATTGGCTAACAGTTGTGTATGTTTGACAGCCTACATGCTTTACAGATGGACGCTGCTGTGATTTAGGTTAAAAACGCATAAATACTCAGAACATATCAAACATATATAACAGACAAAGCAATAGCGATCACTTAATAAAAACACTTACTCACACGTGTGTGTTGATCCAATATAGTCGGAACAGCATCATCTTTTGTTTCAATCTTTCTAAAAATCCCAGTCAAATTGTGCTTTGTTTGTAAAGGAATCCACGATAAAATGAATGAACAAAGGAACAAGTTCTTACTGACGTGGTCTGGAACTTCATTAAAGGGGTCATATGATGCTTTTTTAAAGATCATTATTTTGTGTATTTGGTATAACAGAATATGTTGACATCCTTTAAAGTTCATCCACTTTTTCCTAATGTTGGGATCAGAAGGAAGGCGATGCAAAGACTGTGATTTTCCAGCGTCCTGTTGTCGTTGGAGCATTCTTTATCATTTAATTTCTGCGTAGACCTGTGTTTTCCTCTCGTTATTTACAATATATGCGTGAATCGGTGGGTGGGGCTAAACACAGTCAGTGATGTAGATCTTCTGTGGAGGCGGTGTTTAGCCAAACTATTACATCATATAGTCATACATTCCACAGTCGGTCGTTTTGGCAGACTGCCTTCAATATAAGCTGTTTTTAGACTAAAGGGAACATTTTGAGTTCTAAAATTTAAAGAATGTTTTTATAGTACAATGAACTCTTATATGTCAAAAGATCAAGGGGATTTTGGTTTCTCAGTTCATGACCCCTTTGAGGGCACACATGCTTCCCATACATATAAATGTATATTTCTTCATACCTTCCAGTGCATACTTCATGTCCTGAGCAAAGAGTGTCCACATGACCTCAGCACTGACATGCCCCACATTCAGCTCCTGAGGAAACCTGCACAGGACACACCAGGTCAAACATAACAGCTCAGTGTGTCTGCGTGCCATATTGTGTGTGTATCTGTGCAGTGACTGACTGATTTATGATCGAGCTGTAGGAGTTCCTGTCCTCCTCTATGATGGAAACTATTAAGGTGATGAGTTTGGGCCAGAAGTCCAAATTCTGTATGCTTGGTCCTGGCTCCTCAACAGCAGCATTCTCCTCCTCCTTCTCATCCTTCTTGTCTTCCTCTTCTTCACCCTCTTCTCCCTCTTTCTTTTCTTGTGGTTTCTGTTGTATAAACAATCGCATGATACGACAGAGCAAAAGATATTAGAATGATAGAACGAAAGAACAATAGATAGATGGACAGATAAAGATCGATAAACAGGTAGATAGAACAACAGATAAAATAACAGACAAAACAAGAGAAGGAACAACAAAGTGTCAGACAAAATGACAGAACATTAGACAGAATGACAGTCAGACAAAACAACAGTTAAAATAATGAATTAACAGCAAATAGATACAGAAAAACATAGATATAGAAAGAAATAGATAGAATGACAGATAAAAAACAACATAGAATGACAAAATGACAGATAGAACGACATAAAACAACAGAATGGCATAAAAGTGACAGAAAAACACAGATAAAATGATAGACAGACAGACAGATATAAAAGTCTATGAAAGAAACTCAGAATTGTACTGATGATTCATGAGCCTGACCTTTATGAACAAATGTGGTCTCTATGGTAACAGATCAATTCTATAAAATATTACTAATTTCAGGCTGATGTCCCATGTTGAAATGCTGGTATTACCCATAAGAAATTCAACCTCTGATAATGGCATCATCTAAACAGAGATATCCAAACTTACTGTCAAACACAAGCGTACGCATCCCATCTGTGTGTATGCAAACATACACCTGTGCATGACACGAATGTATTTACTCACAGGCTCTGCGGCCGGCTGGAACTGTCTGTTGTACAGCTCTTGGCAGTTGTTAAAGATGTACTCATATGTGGAGTTGAGGCACGCTTTCACACAGTCCCTGACCACATGGGCGGCACGCGGGGGAGACTGCAGTTCCAGAACCTGGACACAGGGGGCGCCAGAGAAGACACGAATACATCTATATAAAAACAATGTAACACCCGCTAACAAATCAATAGTGACTAATCTCCGTTATGAAAGCCCGCACAAAAGCCTCTCTCTTACAGCACAAAGAAATCAATCTTCGTCTCAAACCTTCTATTATCCTCTTCTACTGTATGAACTCAGGCAGACAGAAATGACGGAGCGTTTACTCAAGAATATATGAAACACAATTGAATTACTCATCTCTATAGGATCTGTCACTCAATATATGTATTACAAATAAGACCTACATCCCTGTATAAAACAACAAGAAGGGCTCTACAGCATGCTGTTGCTTGATCTGATTTATAGGTACGTTATCTTACCTTCAGTCTGAAGAATGTAATGCTGGTCAGCAAATCCACTGTGGATTTGAGATCTGCTAGACGTGGTTTACTGCTGGCTGGGAAATTATTCTGGAGATCAAAGGAGGAACAGAATGAAGATCACAGGTAGCTTGAGTGAGAAGCACAATATGACATTGGTAAAATGGATACTTGAGAAGTAACAAACAACGCATCACTTATATATGCACACGCACAATGTTTACTGATCAAGTCTATAAATCTTTATAAAATGTATACATGCTAGGCAGTCTCAGAACCAGTGGAAAAACATATATATTGACCTGACTGTGATCAGCTGCATCTCAGAATGCACTATAATGAACATTGTTCTGAAACGCATAATTCTAAATAAATAAATAAATGTAAATATGTAAACTGATTGGCGAATCATGATTTGTGCATAAAACAAACATTTTATAATTTTTTTATTCAAAGTTTGATTTTCTTTTTTCCACTTTGTTACATGAAGGTCACATTCAAACATTTTGCAAAAATGCCCATTATGCGTGAATTGCATTGTTTTACTCTTTTCCATGACCCCACTTTCAATGTTAAACCATAAAAATCCATTAATAATAATAATAATAATAAAGTAAAATATGCTGCCCGAGATGCTAGCCCAAGGCTCCAGCATCCCTGTGACCCTACAGAGGACAAGTGGCTTGAAGAATGGATGGATGGACAGAACACCTGTACATACAAATTGTCTATTTTGTTAATTTACATATATCGACACATATGTGTATTTCTGTCAGGAATGATTGACAATTAGCATACAGTTTGGATTGGCGGTATGGTTCTGTTCTGGGCAAGAACTCCCTGTGCATCCATGCAGCCTAGCATGGATGAGAGCAGGGAGAGCAGCGATAACCCCCCCAGGGTAAACAGAACTAACATAAATGTATTGCAGATATCATTAAAGTTCAATAATTTTATGTAGCCTACACATTTTAGAATTAGTCTGAATCAAAGGATAATCAGAAGGCTGAATCCTGACTGACAGAGGAGGAGCTGGGGATGGAGGAGGGTAATTGGCTATTGAGCAATGTGAAAACTGCTGATAGTACTGAGGACCTTATATATGAATGCTTAGATAGGTGTCGTATTCCTATAGCTAGATGGGGATCAGCTGAGAGTCCGCTGATGCGAGTTTGACTAACGTGACCTGCTAGAACTAACGCTACGCTGGATTTTACTCACATATCTTTATTTTTTATTATCTGTATGTTGGTGTTTCTCTGTGTACTGGAAGCTTCTTTTGTCACCAAAACAAATTCCTTGTATGTGCAAATATACTTGGCAATAAAGCTCTTTCTGATTCTGGTGATTATAAAATAATAATGAAACGTTTTAAAGATTAATGACTTAATAATGACTAAAGATCTATCAGTATTAAAATAAATAAATAACCGCCTACACCTCTGCCCCCTAATAAAAAACCTCTTCAAAAGTTTACCAAGGAGACAACAGTTTCAGTGAAGACCTTGAGAAATATAAGATGCAGTATGACAACAAAGAATAAAATGGGATGGCAAAAAAAGAACAAAACGACGCTAAATAACAACATGTGTAAGCAAAATATTTTTTAATGTGTGTCATTTTCCAACTAAGCTGTAATTTGTTGTACACCACACCATCCTAGACTGCATAAACTGTGCCTGTAGATTAGGTTATGGTAATGAACATGATGAATACTTACTCTGTATGTTGACAGGTCAATTCGGAGAGAGTTATGGAGCTGATCCAGCAGTCTAACAAAGCGATCTTTCTGCATTAACAGAGAGAGACATGAGTCAGTGGTGAATAAAATGTAACAAACAAAAAAGGATTGGCAGTTTCTTTCTGTGTTTTGAAAGGCAAAGTATGATTTAGTTATGGAGTAAGCAAAAACTAGCCCCACAAGATGTGTTTCTCTGACACCAGTCTCACTTTGAATGGTATCTAGACCTTGAGCCAAGGACACAGAGCGTGGACACACATACACACACGAACAAAAACATACTGTACAAACACACCACAGACAGGCTTTTGGATAAATCCGTCTGATGGCAATGAGAAAACCTGAAAGGGATTCAAAGGTTCAGGGACACTGACGAGGTCTCAGTTATTCACCATGCTGTATCTTTTCAAAATCCTAGTATGAGCAAGACTCCTACAGAAGAAGGGTCCAGTACAGGAAAAGGAGGGGATGTGAGAGTTTGTACTGTGCACAAATCCAAGCAGCTGTATTTATGCTTTGATAGGATGAGATGGCACGATAGCATCTTCAGCTGTGTCGTATGAGAGCCTCAGTGCATTTGGGATCAAAGGTTTTATGTGACTCTGATTATAACAATCAAACTCACTATCACTCTGTGATCAAATGTGACATTATATCTTACACAACAGGTATTTCCGGTCTTTGAATATGGCTGAGCAACATTCCAAAAGTGCTGACATTTAGTCCAACAGCACTAGGACTTTTCAATGTGTGTATCACTCCGCTTTTCTGTGTTTGCATGTTCAAGACAGATAATCAATTAGTGCGCACATTAGCTATGGGGATTTTTCAGATTATATCGTTCCACTACGCATCAGTATCATTAAACTACTCAGCATCTCAGACTACTGTTCAAAAGTTTAGGTTTGATCGAATTTTTAAATGTTATCATATTTTACATTCAATGATTAAAAAAAACTAAAATATTTTTGAAGAACAGTACATATAATAAAATATATTTGATCATTATTTAATATTAATCTATGACTATTGCGTCTATTTTAATATATTATTATTAATATAATTCATTCCTGTGGTTTCAGCGGTCATTACTCCAGCCTTCAGGGTCACATGATCCCTCAGAAATCATTCTAATGTGCTGATTTGGTGCTGAAGACACATTTCTTATATTACCAATGCTGAAAACAGTTTTGAGGAAATGGTGACACATTTTTTCTAGATGCTTTCATGAATACAAAGTTGAAAATAATTTATTTGAACAATTATTTCAAATAGAAATCTTTTATGACAACATGTTTCTTTACTGTCACTTTATGTATGCTTATTGAATAAAATAATGAATTTCTTTTGCACATTTATACAAAAGCATTGATGTTGATGGACCCAGGGAATAATCAAACCCTAAACTGTCCTTCGGTCAGGCTATATTGGCTGTGTGTGATGCTAAGTTAGCATTACCCTAAAGTTGGAGGCAGTGAAGCGGTCACAGGCGGAGACGTTGGTGACTGAGGTGGGATGAGCGTAGAATGCGTTGATGTTGGCCAGGAGTGTGCTCATTACCGCAGGAACACCAGGCAGCATGTATTTATGGGAAAGACATGCAAAATGCCTACAGGTGGACAGACAGACATCCAGTAAGAAACTGAGCATGCTTTTATTATAAAAAAAACAGTGACATTTACTATTATTACTTAACCGTTGCACAGTTATGTAATAATAGTAAATGTCACTTTTAAATATCTGATATTCTTTTCGTTTAATAAATATGAGTACTTCTCATCTCATAAACAACAAGTCAATCCTTCTATTGTGATTCACTGCCTCTCACTAAAACAAGTCCCAATATTGAATAGACAGAAGTCTAGGTTAGTATCGATTTATTAATCCTAATTATTTATAATTAAAGGGATAGTTCACCCAAAAATGAACATTCTGTCATTATATGCTCATGTTGTTCCAAGCCCATAAGACCTTCATTCATCTTCAGAACACAAATTAAGATATTTTGAATGAAATCGGTGGACAGACAGACATCCAGTAAGAAACTGAGCATGCTTTTATTATAAAAAAAAAAAGTGACATTTACTATTATTACTTAACCGTTGCACAGTTATGTAATAATAGTAAATGTCACTTTTAAATATCTGATATTCTTTTCCTTTAATAAATATGAGTACTTCTCATCTCATAAACAACAAGTCAATCCTTCTATTGTGATTCACTGCCTCTCACTAAAACAAGTCCCAATATTGAATAGACAGAAGTCTAGGTTAGTATCGATTTATTAATCCTAATTATTTATAATTAAAGGGATAGTTCACCCAAAAATGAACATTCTGTCATTATATGCTCATGTTGTTCCAAGCCCATAAGACCTTCATTCATCTTCAGAACACAAATTAAGATATTTTGAATGAAATCTGAGAGCTTTCCGACCCTGCATAGACAGCAATTCAACTACCACATTCAAGGCCCAAAAACATAGTAAGGATATCATTAAAATGGTCTATGTGACATCAGTGGTTCAACCGTAATTTTATTACACTACGTCAGTGGTCTTCACTATTTTTTTCATGGGAGCCGCACTGATAGGGCAAAGTCAATCGGAGAGCCACTTTTACCGCGAAGTATAAAAAATTACATCCAGTCATAAATAGCATGTCTTTTTATCAATCTGTCATATGCAATGCAATGCAATACAAAAGGGGCTATCATTCTTTATCATTTACCAGTCAGATTTGTAACTGAGACAAGATTATAAAAGAAAAAAAAGCAGAATTACCTTAATGCTGGAAAGACCTTAAGTTATTTTATTTTTTATGCTAGCCCATCATGTATCTAACCATCCAAGTGCACATTCAGCATTAAGAGCGGTTAAGATTAAAACTGGCAACTCCGCAGTGAGTCAGTCATGGACGTAGGACAGAGCAAATGTAAATATCTTTTCTATTCTATATTTCCATCTTGTAATGCCGCTGGTTTAGGTATTTTTAAAAAATATATACAAATTATTGATAATAGAGCAGACCCTGGCTGACCGTGTCTACACCGGACGTGACAGTTGTCGTGCCGTGCCCTGCTGCGCTAAAAGTCTGTCTACACTTGACGAGACAAAGCGACAGTTGCAAATCATTTGAACGTAGTGTCAGTACAGTTCGTCATAAATAGAACGAGGCATCAGTTTACTGATGGGGATCATGTCGCATTGCATGGCGCCGCATCCAGTGTAGACAACATCACTGGGTTCTATTGTCTTTTGTTGGATCGCGCCACTCACGTCCGGTGTAGACATGGTGTGAGTTTTTTTAATGGGTTATGTTATAGCCCTGCTTGTTTTTAATGTTTTTATGAAATATCTGTATTGACTGCATGATCATATCATTGTATTATTTACTGCCATGCGAGCCACAAAGTAAAGCTTGGCGAGCCGCGCAATGAGTAACACTGCACTACGTGAATAATTTTTATGTGCAAACAAAAGCCAAAAAAAAAAGACTTTATTCAACAATTTCTTCTCTTCCGTGTCAGTCTTCGACGCGCATTTGTACCTTTCTGGGTCTTGAACGTGGTAGTTCCGTTGCTGTCTATGCAGGGTCAGAAAGCTCTCGGATTTCATCAAAAATATCTTAATGTGTGTTCCAAAGATGAACAAAAGTCTTACGGGTTTGGAACGACACGAGGCTGAGTAATTACTACATTCCCACCATTGAAATACCTAATCAGGATTAATATGTTTAATAGGATTAATAGGTCTTAAAGGGGTCATATGACGTTGCTAAAAAATAACATTATTTTGTGTATTTGGTGTAATGAAATGTGTTTATGTGGTTTAAGGTTAAAAAAACATTATTTTCCACATACTGTACATTATTGTTTCTCCTCTATGCCCCGCCTTTCTGAAACGCGTAAATTTTTACAAAGCTCATCCTTCTGAAAAGCGAGGTGTGCTGTGATTGGCCAGCTATCCAGTGCGTTGTGATTGGCCGAATACCTCAAGCGTGTGATGGAAATGTTACGCCCCTCACCATACTGTGATGCCGTGTCCGGCCGGAGCGACGAGACAAAACCAATAAAACTCATTATAAACGAGGCATTTGTTGCATCCAGTGGGGACATAATTACTGATTATAATGACTTATACTGTCTTTTTACGTGTTGCATCGCGCCACGTAAACATAAAACCATGTCTGCATTTGTGATCGGAAAACCACAAACAACAAGCACTACTCTACACTGCTCAAAACTCGTGTTTGATTCATCAGTGGCAAATCCTTTAAATATGAAAACATACTTACAGGCTGTGAGTCAGCATTATTTGTCAGCATCATAGACTGTATAGCAGGGATCCTCAAATCTGGCCCACGAGATCCACTTTCCTGCAGAGTTTAGCTCTAACCCTAATCAAACACACCTGAGCATGCTAATCAATGTCTTCAGGATCATTAGAAAATCACCGGTAGCTGAGTTTGATCAGGGTTGGAGCTAAACTCTGCAGCGCATTGGACCTCCAGGGTAAGATTTGAGGAACCCTGCTGTATAGGGTCAGCATGCGTACCGAAGGGGAAACAGGGGAACTGAATTCACTGGAATTGTAGGACCCAGGAAACAGTCCTCGTCCTCTGTAAAATGTGCTGCACACATCTGGATATTTGGGTTGAACTGTTCTGGAACAGTGTTGTAAATACAACTTAACCACTGATTTCTAGTCGTGTCCTCTTTTGGAAGACCAAACAAAGTAGTTTCGCTTTCACAACGAAACACACAGCGTTTCCACGGCATGGCAGCGGCGGCAGCAACAACACTACAGCGAGAATCAAAGTTATGCCTGACATCAGTGGTTCAACCGTAATTTTATTACACTACGTCAGTGGTCTTCACTATTTTTTTCATGGGAGCCGCACTGATAGGGCAAAGTCAATCGGAGAGCCACTTTTACCGCGAAGTATAAAAAATTACATCCAGTCATAAATAGCATGTCTTTTTATCAATCTGTCATATGCAATGCAATGCAATACAAAAGGGGCTATCATTCTTTATCATTTACCAGTCAGATTTGTAACTGAGACAAGATTATAAAAGAAAAAAAAGCAGAATTACCTTAATGCTGGAAAGACCTTAAGTTATTTTATTTTTTATGCTAGCCCATCATGTATCTAACCATCCAAGTGCACATTCAGCATTAACAGCGGTTAAGATTAAAACTGGCAACTCCGCAGTGAGTCAGTCATGGACGTAGGACAGAGCAAATGTAAATATCTTTTCTATTCTATATTTCCATCTTGTAATGCCGCTGGTTTAGGTATTTTTAAAAAATATATACAAATTATTTATAATAGAGCAGACACTGTCTGACCGTGTCTACACCGGACGTGACAGTTGTCGTGCCGTGCCCTGCTGCGCTAAAAGTCTGTCTACACTTGACGAGACAAAGCGACAGTTGCAAATCATTTGAACGTAGTGTCAGTACAGTTCGTCATAAATAGAACGAGGCATCAGTTTACTGATGGGGATCATGTCGCATTGCATGGCGCCGCATCCAGTGTAGACAACATCACTGGGTTCTATTGTCTTTTGTTGGATCGCGCCACTCACGTCCGGTGTAGACATGGTGTGAGTTTTTTTAATGGGTTATGTTATAGCCCTGCTTGTTTTTAATGTTTTTATGAAATATCTGTATTGACTGCATGATCATATCATTGTATTATTTACTGCCATGCGAGCCACAAAGTAAAGCTTGGCGAGCCGCGCAATGAGTAACACTGCACTACGTGAATAATTTTTATGTGCAAACAAAAGCCAAAAAAAAAAGACTTTATTCAACAATTTCTTCTCTTCCGTGTCAGTCTTCGACGCGCATTTGTACCTTTCTGGGTCTTGAACGTGGTAGTTCCGTTGCTGTCTATGCAGGGTCAGAAAGCTCTCGGATTTCATCAAAAATATCTTAATGTGTGTTCCAAAGATGAACAAAAGTCTTACGGGTTTGGAACGACACGAGGCTGAGTAATTACTACATTCCCACCATTGAAATACCTAATCAGGATTAATATGTTTAATAGGATTAATAGGTCTTAAAGGGGTCATATGACGTTGCTAAAAAATAACATTATTTTGTGTATTTGGTGTAATGAAATGTGTTTATGTGGTTTAAGGTTAAAAAAACATTATTTTCCACATACTGTACATTATTGTTTCTCCTCTATGCCCCGCCTTTCTGAAACGCGTAAATTTTTACAAAGCTCATCCTTCTGAAAAGCGAGGTGTGCTGTGATTGGCCAGCTATCCAGTGCGTTGTGATTGGCCGAATACCTCAAGCGTGTGATGGAAATGTTACGCCCCTCACCATACTGTGATGCCGTGTCCGGCCGGAGCGACGAGACAAAACCAATAAAACTCATTATAAACGAGGCATTTGTTGCATCCAGTGGGGACATAATTACTGATTATAATGACTTATACTGTCTTTTTACGTGTTGCATCGCGCCACGTAAACATAAAACCATGTCTGCATTTGTGATCGGAAAACCACAAACAACAAGCACTACTCTACACTGCTCAAAACTCGTGTTTGATTCATCAGTGGCAAATCCTTTAAATATGAAAACATACTTACAGGCTGTGAGTCAGCATTATTTGTCAGCATCATAGACTGTATAGCAGGGATCCTCAAATCTGGCCCACGAGATCCACTTTCCTGCAGAGTTTAGCTCTAACCCTAATCAAACACACCTGAGCATGCTAATCAATGTCTTCAGGATCATTAGAAAATCACCGGTAGCTGAGTTTGATCAGGGTTGGAGCTAAACTCTGCAGCGCATTGGACCTCCAGGGTAAGATTTGAGGAACCCTGCTGTATAGGGTCAGCATGCGTACCGAAGGGGAAACAGGGGAACTGAATTCACTGGAATTGTAGGACCCAGGAAACAGTCCTCGTCCTCTGTAAAATGTGCTGCACACATCTGGATATTTGGGTTGAACTGTTCTGGAACAGTGTTGTAAATACAACTTAACCACTGATTTCTAGTCGTGTCCTCTTTTGGAAGACCAAACAAAGTAGTTTCGCTTTCACAACGAAACACACAGCGTTTCCACGGCATGGCAGCGGCGGCAGCAACAACACTACAGCGAGAATCAAAGTTATGCCTTCTTTGCGTGAACATTTGGGTGGCGTTATGCAAATCTTCCCACACAGTGATGTAGACATGTTAGTAGCGTGTTTAAACGAGGCATTTTAGGAGGGCGTGGACCAGTCTTAACTTTTATAAAGAATATCTCTTTGGGTTTGAGACTTTAGTCTTTGCAACTTTACAGATCCACAAACAGCTTGTAACACTCCAAAGAGAAAGGAAAACTTGAAATCGCATCATATGACCCCTTTAAGCCTGACTGATTATTGATGGGCATTGATGTGGTTACACAATGCTACCAGCAGATGTTTCCTATCGACAGCAAAGGACTGTCAGAATACAGACAAAATGCTCCAGGGCTTACGTCATGGCCTGATAGATGGATTCTATTCCGTAGCGCATGGCAAATTCGTCTACAATATCCTGAGCAACCTCATCAAAGTAGACCTTCCAGGCATCATCTCCTCGTGCCGTGGGCAACTTCACCACACCTTGTCCTTCACTGTCTGTCACAAAGTGAAAAAAAATCTACAAAAAAAGAGAGGGAGAAAGAGGCTCAGTGATGTGCTTTGCAATAGAAATGATTGTGCGTTGTTTGCTTTCAAGCATACAGTAAATTTATTAGATACGATTTATGTAGGATCAGATTTTAGTACGATTTGTAATATTTTCACAGCCTTATTCTTACCAAGGCTGCATTTGTTTGATGCAAACTTCAGTTAAAATTGTACAAAATAATTGCAATTTAATTATATTTAGTGCTTTATTATATTTTAAAATGTCATTCATTCCTGTGATGCAAAGCTGAATTTTCAGCATCATTACTCCAGTCTTAAATGTCACCCGATCCTTCAGAAATCATTCTAATATGCTGGTTTGCTGCTTAGTATTTTGCATTATTTTCAATGTTGTAAACAGTTGTGCTGTTGTGGAAACCATGATACATTCTTCGATGAATAGTTCAAAACTATTGGTCACTTTTGAAAAATTTAATGCATCCACGCTGAATAAAAGTACTTTTTTTTTATACTTAACCCCACATTATTTGCACAATAGTGTACACAGACATTTGTCATCTAACAAGAATTCAAAGTGGTGTGTGTAGTGGGTTTACCTCATGCAAACATGTGTACTGAGCATGATAAGGGGCCACCTTCTCTTCCCCTTTAATTTCCACACTTATCTGCAGTCTGATGGCCCCTGATACCGCTGACTTGTCTGTGCGTTTTTCTGCAAAAGTTAGAGATAACACATGGCCATTACATATCTGATATGAAAGACAATTCTTCATTTATCGCATCTCGTAATGGTCCTTGATCCAAGTATAGTAGTAGATGCAGTAACATTTAATCAACTTTTTTTCAAGAGAAAACAAACAGTATATTCAAATGTAAAGACATTAAACTCAAGATTTTACTGAATATTTCCATCAGAAACAATGTATTGTTTTAGAAACCATATGTTCTGTAACATTATTATGCAATGAGAGAAGCAGCCGTGTGGCTGTAGACCATCTGACTGACTGTAAAAGGTCCAGCGCCAATGTTCGACATATTTAATTCATTATGCAAGTTTTTATGAACAGCTAAAGCTAAATTTGCCATATTTCACAGTTAAAATCTTATCTTTGATCTAAATGCATGCAAATCATTCCATTATAAGATTTTTATGGGATCAGGCTTATTAAAACATTAAGAATATTAAATAATATATATATATATATTATTATTATTATTACAAATCACAGTTCATATTTTAGGCATAGAACATTTATAACCTGCACGGCAACTGCAACACTTAAACAGACAGATGGTTTAATTTCTAGTGTGACATACAATGGAGCCATTCAGTTTGTAGTTCTAAATCTCTTAAGAAAATTACCACTGTCTAGTCATGGGTTCCCTTGAGAATTTCTAATGGGTTTTTCAAATATCAGTTTTAGATTTATGAGAAAAATAAGGTCTTCATTAGCCCTTCTGGAGCAACTTCAGCTTTCATTTTTGTAACAACTTGCATTAAAGCACATGAAGGTTTCAAAATTCCTGTTTGAGATGTAACAGCGTGTAATTTCTTTTGTAGAACAAAACATAACACCTTTTCAAAATTCCAGAGGGAACCCACAGCAAATTAGACTTCAAGTTTGTCTACAAATTGACATCATGCCTGTACAGCTTTATATCAGGAGTGCTACAGTACTTTCAATGCCCCAGCGAATAAAAAAAGATCATTTAAAAAAAATGTCAATAACACCCCACAATGAAACATACATAGAAGGAGAGGAACTTACCAAGGTTGTACCAGACATCCATCTCTCCGCTGAGGGTTCGGACCTCAATAATGCTCTGACCCAAAAAGTCATCAGATTCCCTCTTCAGACGCTGCTTCACACGAGACTTTATATCGTCATCTTCATCCCACACACGCAGTTTAATGCGGTCAGATGAATTGTGGCACTCACTAGCGAGGAAAAGGTAAATTTGTGAACAAATCGCAGCTGCTTCATAAAAGAGAGCTGTGATTTCAACAAAGTTAACAACTAATCAATATTAACACAAGTTGCTATATTTTTTGACAACTGTAAACAGTGTACAGTTATGTTAATGAACTTAACTGTATTACTTGTAAGAATCATTTACTGTGATTGTTATTAAAAACAAATGTATTCAATAAACTAAGCATTTGCTCATTTTCATTTGTGACCCTGGAGCACAAAAGCAGTTTTAAGTCACTTGGGTATATTTGTAGTAACAGCCAAAAAAACATTGTATGGGTCAAAATTATCGATTTTTCTTTTATGCCAAAAATCATTAGGATAAAGATCATGTTCCATGAAGATATTTTGTAAATTTCCTACCGTAAATATATTAAAACTTAATTTTTGATTAGTATATGCATTGCTAAGAACTCCATTTGGACAACTTTAAAGGCGATTTTCTCAATATTTAGATTTTTTTTGCACCCTCAGATTCAAGATTTCATATAGTTTCCAAATATTGTTCTATCCTAACAAACCATACATCAATGGAAAGCTTATTTATTCAGCTTTCAGATGATGTATAAATCTCAATTTTGAAAAATTGACCCTTATGACTGGTTTTGTGGTCCAGGGTCACATTTAAAAACCAATTTTAAAGGTATAGTTCACCCAAAAATGAAATTTGTGTCATCATTTACTCATCTTCAATTGCTCCAAACCTGTATGAATTTCTTTCTTCTATCGGTAACCAAACAACCAAAAGTTGTTGGTAGCCACTGACTTCCATAGTATATATTTTTTTAAATTATGGAAGTTAATGGCTACCAGCAACTGTTTGGTTACCAACATTCTTGAAAATATCCTTGAAAATATGTTATTGCTTTTATAAAACAACAGGTTATTAAATAAAGGTAAGGCACAACATTACCGTGGTTAAGGGAGTGCTCATGCAGTTTTGTCTTACAACACTGCTTAACCACGCCAATATCACAGGAACGCACAGGATCTTTTTTAGATTATTTTATAGTTTATTTTAAAGATTATTGCTTCTTATCTGTTGTATTAAGTCATATTTGATTATTGGTAAAATGTAATGCAATGCAGTACTTTCTTCCTGTATAACACTCTTTAAAAGTAGTGCATACTTTACAAATTAGTGTTGTTGTCTGAGGGGCCGTTTACATGACGTTTTCAGCCAAAAACAGGGAAACTTTTTATGCGTTTTGCCTGTTCGTTTACACGACAGCGGCGTTTTGGGGACTGAAAACGCATAATTTTTGAAAACGGGTTTCAAAGTGCAAGTTTTTAAAAATGCCACTGTTGCCGTTTCCGTGTAAACACCCAAAACGGGAATCTTTGAAAACGGTGACGTCATGAGCGTGCGTAGTACGTGTTAGGTATGTAGACATGCGCAGTACGTGTCGATTTTAAAGACAGGCGCGAACAAACCTACACAACAATGGCAGAGTACATGGTACTGTTGTTGCTGCTCAAGAGTTTGCTAACGCTTCTTCAGCAAAGTGTGGATTTACTTCACCAATATTACAACCAAGAGCGGAGATGCATCATATAAAACATATAATCGTCAATTCCCTACAGGTACTGTTTATTAACAAGGTGACAGCGCCAACTACTGGCCTGGCATACGTAATACAGCGTTTTTGGCCGTTTTTGCGGATGTGTGTAAAAGCGAATCGTTTTCAAAACGTTGTCGTGTATACGCGAAACTTTTTTAAAGCGCAAGAGGAAAACGTTTCCATTTTTGACTACATTGTTGTCGTGTATACGTAGCCTTAGTTCTGCAAGAAAGCTCCCCATGTAAGAATTTCATTGGACTTAGTACACTGTACCCTGTACAAATTAAAAACTTTGACTTGACTTTGACTTACAAGCCTGTAGCACAGAAAACTTGCCATTGAGGTCTCTTTAAAATCTTATATTAATACCTAATTATTTCTCCTAGCCTGCAATATGAGAACATGGAGAGCAAATAGACACTTTTGCTGAAGTCTCCTGCAATTTCACGTATGTCCTGTGGGGTTTGAAAAGACATCTCAACAATCAAACAAACTGTGATCAGATTTTCCAAAATACCAAAGTCTGTAAACAAATGTCAGAGATCCCAATACCAACCAAATTACCTGAGCTATGCTATTCAAGGTTATTTTACAGCTCTATACTCTTGTTTCTATTTTTACTTCTCCTAAGAAACCTTTGGAGAAATATCTGAGACAAGGGTGATGACATATAACAACACCTAAGCAATGCTTTCCTGATTACATGAGAATAAGAACACAGCAGATAAAAGACAGGATTCCAAAAGAACAAAGAGAACAGAAAATATTGTATAAGACTCACAAGCTGAACGTCTCCTCCCACACAGGGTTAAGGTTACCGTAGATGGTTTTGGTTCTCTTCTTAGTCTTGCCAACCTGAACGGTCACATACGGATCACTGGAACCAGTTCTGTCTTTAGCCTGCAGGCCCTGAGCGCTCACCACTGGAAAACACACATGAACGCACAGACTCTTGTAAGATCAACCCACAGTCAGTAAAAAAAAAAAAAAAAATTGGAAAAATGTATTCCAATGCAGGCACAGTGCATATTATTAAAAGCTCTATTAGAAATCTGCATTTATACAACCATTCCTTGACAATTTAGATTACTGAAAGGTATCAGAGCAATAACAGCTGTCCCTGCTTCCGTACCAGTGATGGAGATTTTGGCAGACCATTTTGATGTTCCGTCAAGCACAGTCTGTTTGATGGCCTTCATCTGCTGAGCATGGTTTAGTTTAGTCACAGTGAACACAAGCCTTATAATTTCAAAGATTTCAGGCTTGTTCCTCTCTCGGATCTTCATGCGGTCCTTCATGGCCGATATGATATGCTGGGTTCTGTCCTCTGCTCCTGTTTTGGAGCTCTTCTCAGCAGCTCCTAGCAATTGTAGAGAAGTGTTTAATGATATAATTTAATCGCAAAATAAAACATGCAATAAACAAAGGGATCAAAAACATGACAAATACTGTATACTGCACGAGCGAAATGGTTTCTATTTTACATTCGTACCCTTTCGCATTTTTGGCATATATTTCATAAATTGCATAGTGCATCATCTTAAATATTTCTTACTCATTTTTACATGCTTTCTCCTCATTGAATTGGTTACTTTCATTAAAAAAGCATTTCTCAATGGCACAGATGTAACATTCATAAGGGATATTGCCAAAACAATTGTTGTATGAACACTAAAGTAAGAATTGTTTTGTTGTTGCTTGTTTTTCTGTATTTGGTTGGTGACTCACTCTGTAAACAGTCTGCGTTGAGAAGCTCCTGGCATTTTTCGTGGCATTTGACTCCACACTCTGAGCAGCGCATGCCCTGCCGCGCGATGCCCCACAACAAGCCCTCACACTCGTAGCAGTAGGTAGGCGTGGTGGCCGTCCACACTTCAAAGTTATGGGGTGTCGTGCAAGAAATAGGGTAAATCAGAGCCTGGAGGGTCTTCTTGTACACGTGATTCTTCTACAGAGAGAGAAAATACACTGAAAATAGTTTCTGCCAGAAACGGGCCCTAGACGCAACCCTGAAGACGACATTTCAAAACAAACCCCAGATCACATGTAGGACATGTTGAAATTAAACATCATGAAGTAGTTAAAGGGGTCATCGGATGCCCATTTTCCACAAGTTGATATGATTCTTTAGGGTCTTAATGATAAGTCTGCAACATAGTTTGGTTAAAATTTCTCAATGGTAGTTTAAAAAACACGTTTTTTACCCTGTCAGAAACAGCTCTTTTCAGATCACGCAGTTTTGTAGCATTTTCCTTTAAATGTTAATGAGCTCTGCTGACCCCGCCCCTCTCTTCCGAGCCGCTCTCTGAGGGACTGTTTACTTTAGCTGCATTCATCGTGAAACTTGCTAGTTATCACATTATTAGGAAAGGCGATTTGCAAAGATTCATTAAAAAACCTTATACTCACTTCTGTAGGTGAAGCTGGATCACGACTGATTCGCGCGAACATAGATGCATTTACATAGATCGGAGGCGCATTCCCTTCAAAAACAAACGACTGCTATGTTCATTATTACATCCAACAACAGAACACCTCAATCGCTCAGGAGTCATTCTTTTCTACATCTGCTCCGGCGGTGAAACAATGGCGGACTGATGACAGCTCAGTCAGGGCGGAGCTAAGGTAAGACACCAGTCCAGTCTGTGCTGAAACGCTACTGTCAATCAAACAAATCGTGGGAGGGGCCTGTCTGGCATCTGAGATCGGCTCAATTTGAGAAAGGGGTAAAGATTTTAGTAGATAAAAAAAAACACTGGGTGGATTTTTATCATTATAGGGTGGTTGTGTACACACACTGCCAACGCACATTTCAGTTCAAACAACATGTAAAAGTGCATGTAGCATATGATGACCCCTTTAAGAATGGTTCAAACAGAAAATAGGAAAAAGCATTGAGAAGTAAAAAGGTAAGAGTACAAAAAGGTAAGAGAACAAAGATGCTCTTTATAAATTCTGGTCCTGGTTTATGTTGTAGGTGTAGTTATGGAAGTGGGCAGACAGGTGTCAACCGATGACCAAATGAAAGCCACCTCACATCTTTATCTGCATAAAGTGTAGATGGCATACATCTTTTTTTATTTTTTGAAAAAATGTTTCAAAATCATTCATCAATCCAAAGCATTTTGAAGGGTACCTTTACATTTTGATAGAAGACATTTTAACTAGAATTATGTCAACAATTACTCTATTATCATCCCAACACGAAAAACACAATGCCATGCAATGAAATTAAAAGAAGACCGATGCTGTCAAGCTATAAAAATAAAAAAAGCACTGTTAATGTAATAAAGCTATAAACTGATTGGTGTGCTACTGTGTATTACTTTTGAAAGTCTGCTAAAAGACATAATTCTTTCTTTTAATTTTTAAAAGTTATTTATTTTCCTAGTGAGTACTTTTTAATGAAGACATATGACACAATGCAGATCATTATTTACTGAAAACTATATTCAAAATGTCACATGTTACGGGTTACAAAACATGTGACCACATGGCATTGATCATCAATGATGTCAATCATGGCTTTTCAGTGAGTAGAAAACGTTTTTTACTCCTTTTTGCAATTTCATGAAAGTCGGCATAAAATACACCCTCTCTGTTTTTAATTGTATCTTGTGAACAGTTCATCCATGCACATCTTTCTTTTAATTTTTGTCTTCCCTCTAGTAACGTATGCTGGATTTTCCCAATCATTTACCATTTATCCAATCAACAACCAATGATAGAACCAAGTCATGCACTACATTTATACTTTTTTTGATAATTGTTTCACTCAAATGTATTTCACAATGCAGAAGAAAAGCTCTGTCGCTACTCTTGCTACAACATAAACAACTTAATAAAGTGAGAAGCAGAAAGACAACAGATGTTCTTGTATTTTGCATCTCCTACCAGTTCTTCGTCCTTCAGTGAAGAGCGTGCAGCTAATGCATGAGAGATCCCTGCTTTCCTGGACTGCACAAGAGACTGCGAGGGGAGCAAAGGTTGAATATGAACATGTGCCTAATTATTAACAATTAGTAATAGTAGTACTCATTATACCATTTTGTGCTCTCCCAGTTGGTTTAGCAAAACTGCCTTTAATGTTTCCTTAAACACCTGGTAAATGTTGTTCTATGCTTGTCCTGCCATTAAGGGCACCATGTCTAATTAAATAGCTTTTAGCATTTCATACCTAACTTTGTAAATAATAAAAAGAATGGTACCAACAACAGACAAAAACCAGCCTAGATAGACCGTTGATACATCATGCTGAACTCTCAGTGGTTGTTACATAGCTAAAGGCAGACCAATACTCCAAAGATTGATTTTCCATGAAAACATAGATAAGAGCACAATTTTTATCCTCTCATAGATAATGACAGTGATTCAAACACGCAAATGGCCTGGCTTTATCTTTTCTCAAGCCACCAATTGCTCAGCAAGTCAATTGTGGTACAGGGTGAGTGAGGGGGCTGGCAGGTCATGGGTAAGGTTCAGTCAATGAAAAAAAGGCCTGAAAGCTAACTACAAGGATCGATATTACATTGCTAGGAGAAAATGTCATTTCTTCAAACAAAAAGCTAAATCAAGTTGCAGCGTCATACAAATCCAATGAAATCAGAGTATGTTATCCCTTGTATATCATGATGGCACATCTAAATGATTATTAACAAAAAGTATTCAAATTTAGACGCAAAATAATAAAGGATAAAACATATGATAATATTTATCACTTGTATAAAATTCTTAAAAGCTCTAATTATGGGTAACATTGTAAATGTTAAATGGCAAAGCAAGTGTTTAACCAATGAACACCACTATTATGGAATATATTATTATTGTTATATACACCACTTATTATTTTTATTGTTATATACACCACTATTGTGGAATATATGTGACCCTGGACCACAAAACCAGTTTTAAGTCGCTGGGGTATATTTGTAGAAATAGCCAAAAAAACATTGTATGGGTCAAAATTATAAATTTTTCTTTTATGCCAAAAATCATTAGGATATTAGGTAACACTTTACTTGAAGGGGTGTGCATAAGACTGACATGACACCTTCATAATCATGACATGACACCTATATATTAACTTCTAATGATCAAATGTTTTAATAGATGAACACATTGACATTTAATTAGGCAACGTTCAACCGTAGCGTCCAAGTTTGATTACACAGAAATATTTGACCACCAAATTCAGCCACTGACCATTCAGAATAGAGTTTTCCAGAGTTGTGCAATAACCTTTGTTTATATTCAGCTTAAAACAACTTTTACAAAAAAAGAAGCATTTGTTGGCATGAAAACTGTTGTGCAAGGCACAAGCTTCAGATCAAGCCTGTTTTTATTTAGCTTTTTTGTCCCCTCTACAGCATGTCAAATGTATCTGTGTAGGTTTCAGTTTTATCGTGTCGCAACAAAGACTGATTGCTGAAAGTTCCCCATTTCTGACTTATTCTGACTCTGGGCATGTCAGTGAACTGGAGGAAAAGACGTATCAATCGTATGCACACTTGTCTGGTTTTTAATGCACCAGTCACATAAGATATCCCTCTTTAAAGGTGAAGAGAAGACATTCAATTACGAGATTGCTGGAAAATTGGATGTCATACGGTCATTCATCGGTGATATAGTATTACTGCTCTGCAATCACACCAGAATCGAGCAGCAAATCAAAGATGATTGTATCACACACTGAAAATGAAACTGAGCATTTTTGACATATAATCTACATCTGTACAATCTATATTATATTTTTTTGTGAAAAAAATGACAGCACTTTTGCCTTCAGTGTGGACAGACAAATTGCTTGTCACTTCTTACATCACGTCTTTTTAGGACACCGTGTTATAGCTTAAATAACAATTTAGACCTAAAAAAAATGAAAACATATGCCTACAAAATGTGTAGGATACAGGAATCCCTTTCAGTCTGCTTTGAGTAAAAGCTGAAAAAGCTAAAAAAATATATATATATTTACAAAGCATTCACTAATGGAAAGGTTTACTTACCATGGCCTAGTAATGAAGGAAAGCATTAAAAAAAAATTATGACAAAAGATCAGATCAGATTTATGTTATACTAGATAAGAGTTAAATTACAATTGAAGATTATAATTACTAATATTTTAATACAATTAGTAGACAGGGAAATATTACCAAAAATGTGACAATGTTGCGTTTCAATATGGAACAATATGAAAAAATAATAATAAAAATCACTCACCACTTCGCTAACCAAGGGGATAGACTTCTTCTTCCTAAGGTCAGGCATGCTATCAATGCCAAATATTCCTCCTCCCCTAAAGATAATATTATGGATATTCCAGTAATGGAAAAATGTATGTTTGGTAAAGAACAGCTAAACAACAACACGGTTCAAACAGTGAAAGTGAATGAGTAAGAGGTCATACCCAGGTTTGGCCCATGGATGTTTGTTATGGTCTCCATTGATGTTCTGTTGAGAGGTTGATCAAATTGTGATGCATTAAAACAAATATTAAATGTTAAAGCTTCATATAGGCAACAAAAACAGCACTTAATAAAAACGTGGGAAATAGGGAGAAAGAGGAATAGAGACAGCCCTGCCGTTTGGTTGATTGAATTTCACCACTATATTCATGAATATACAAGCAGAATGTTCCAGTCATGAGAACAATCCTAGTCAAGACAAGATTAGACATGCAAAGGCTCATAACTCTCTAATGTAACTTCCTGTCAGAAAATCACAATTTACTTTACTTTCAAGATGCACAATAGTAACCTCAATCTAACAAGAGAAAAGTATTTTTGCTTTTGATGTAAATGCAAAAAGATAAAGGCTTATATTTCAAAGAAGCAATTATATTAAGCTTTGTAAAAAAAATAAAAAAAAAAATTCAAAAGTAGAATAAACAAGTTTTCAAATATTTTTATATTTAGAATTTTTTTTTTTTTTACTATTTAATTAGGTAAAATTATTGAAGTAGCATGTATGCCCCCTCTGTGCTGTCAAAAAACAGACCATTTTATCTCTTAACTCGTCGTTTGGCAACAGCCTGTGCACTGAATGAAGCATCTCCAAAAGAGATTAATTGTTAATGTAACTGCAACAAAATCAATAAATTCCCTATGCAAAATCATTTGTAATGCCAAACCCCTCAAAACAAAAAGGCTGAGGGAAAAATCATTGCTATAAAATTCTGACTCAGCAACTTGAAATGAATCTGCCATCACGGTTTCTATTTTATATGGTATAACCGGGAGGGATACTTTAATGAGCCACAATCAATAACACAGGCTGAAAATGTGTGTAATGTTTACAATGCAGCATAGACTACAAGCCATGAGAACAAGGCATGATTTAAAAAATGAAATAAAACAGACACAAGTAACTCAACACAATGCAGGAAACCCAAATCAAGGGAGCCTGTTAGCACCATGCACACTAAAGACCTTCAAACTGCATTATTTATCTCTAGCAGTGCAAACATAAAACACCAAGGCACTTTTTAAACCATGTGAAAAATATATAACCTTATCTTCATCCTGGCTTCCATCTGAAAATACAATAAATAGCACATAAAGCTATCACACCACTTTTAACCAGAACTAGACAGCACTCTTTAACTAGACATAACATTATAAAGCAATTAAACTTGTTGTCCAAGAACATATTTACATCTGCAGACAGGGAGTTTAATAACCCTGTGTATATGGATCAAGAACTGCATAACTGTGGGGATTTGGCAATTGATCTAGACAGTTCATAAAAGTTTCACTGAGATGTATTATTCATTTATAATGGCTGCTAAATTTTCACTGCACTCTACTTTCATGTCAGATTTGTTTTCATTTCAATTTGATGAGTGTAATTAGTTTGTTTGAGCCTGGGGAACAAGACTAGTTTAACACCCAGCAGGACGCTTGCTAATATATCTGCAGGAAAGGACCAAACACCCACTGGCTATGTTTCTGATGAGATCTGATATTTTACAGATAAAAAAGTGTTTAAATGTTATTTGTGAGACACGTTTGATGTGCATAGCCATGGAAAAGCACATCAGAATGATTTACTTTCCATTTCTGGCATACATTTTAAAAGATTGAGTTCACAGAAATTCACTAATACTGCAAATTTGAAACTTCCGACAAGATCTTCTAAGACGTGACAATGAAGGAGAACAATGAATATGAAAGCTTAGAGCCTCCAAACTCAATATACCTGAGTTCAAATCATCTTCAGAAAATGCTGACATGGTCACTCTACCGAGTTGTCTTTTGGACTCTCTCTTCTCCCTTAGAATCTGCTGGAAACTCCTGAGGCACTTCAGACGACGTGCATCCCGCTGACTAATCTCTGCTTCACTACCTCCTTCCGTAGAGGACTCGGTGGAAGGCTGCGTTTCCCCCGCCAGTGTTCTTTGCTCCTCTTCTACTGCTAGTTCCTCGAGGGAAAAAGAGTCTGGGATAATGTCTGTAGAGAAACACTGTGGTAAATGAGCATTGGTTGGATGTCCAGATGTAGCATCTGATGCATTACTGGTGGAGGAGTCCAACCCTGGAGAATTTGGATGTTCTGAATGATCAATATTTTGCTGGTGAGGAGGCGATTCAGGTTTTGCTTTGGTGGAGATGCATTGAGGTATCTCTATGAAACCTTTCTCGGTACCGATGGCTTGAGGCTGTTCAGAATAATTTGTTTCTATTTGTGTAGTCTCCATCTCTATTTGAGGAATGTCTACATTTGGCGTCTCAGTATTTACCATTCCATATGGTTCCTTACATGGGGAGATCTGCATATGGACTTCAACCCTTTCACCAGGTATAGTAGCACTAGCTCCATCCATCTTCTTAAGAGCTCCTCGCAAAGCAGTTTTGAAATCAAGAACTGCTCTACCAAACTTTTTTACTTTAAACGCCACATTACTGTCATCAGCAGAGCCTGGCTTCCAATCAGGGACATTTTGATTACAGAGTGATGTACCTTCATATAGAAGGTTTCTGGATGGCTCAACAATCACACTTTCTGTTGACTCACTTTTAAATGGAACTACGCAATTTTCACAAGAAGACACGTGATTCTGATAAACAGAGCTCTGAGGACATTTACCATCTGCATTGCAATTATGGCAGCCCAAACCAGGTTCTTCAGGCAGCATTTCTGCATCATACAGCTTCCAATCTCCTCTATTGCTTGTACTAACAGGAGAGTTGTAGTGTTTACCAGATACTATGGATATTTCATCTGAGGTGCCCATCATACAGGTACTTACAGCTCTTGATGGGTCCCAGCTGTCCACTTCACCCGTGCAGCACTCTGCCTCTTCAAAATGGCCTTGTCTGGAGCAAGAATCATCTTCGCTCCAACCGATCTCTCCACTCCCACTATGTTTTAAAGCCACTGGGTTCAAGGTCTGACTTTCACCCCCTGCTTTGCCATGTCCAGAGGTGGGTCTTTCTGGATCAGATTCAGACTTGGAACTCTGACCCGAAGATAGGGAACTGGTGCTCGGACAGTCCTGTCCATCCTGGCGCTCAAGGTAACCAAAGCTAAGCTTCCTTCTCCTTGCACCTTGAGATACATCAGACCTTTGAATAGATGCTTCTTGTGAAAAAGGATGATGTGCATTGTGGTTTGAAGTCTCAACACTTGTGAAAGCAGACTGCCTTGGTGCCTCTTTGTGCTTCCCATCAACGACTTGATATTCTGAGAGTATATCACCACAGCTACTTGAGGATTCAACAGTGTAGCAGCCTATACTAACAGTGTTATTTGATTTGTGTGTGTGGTGGGAGTGACCCTCAGTGCCACCCATTGCTCCTGGCCAAGTCTCTACACCAGATTTGTTTCCAGAACGCATGCATTCGATCTCCATTAGGACGGCATCTACACAGCTAGAGACCTCCTCAACAGAGCCACTAACAGATGAGAGGTACTCCCTCAAGTCTGAAATCTCCTCTTGAATTTTGTTGATCCCTCGCAATTCCTTCAGAATGTGCTCAACGATAGCACTCGATTCTTCCTCTTCATAGTCTTCATTATTCCCCTCCACAACTTCATCCAGCATCGCCATATTTAACCTGCACAGCAAAGTCTCCGTCTGTCTTTTAGGCTCACCATCAAGTCCTCTTCCAGATGAAAACCTAGTCCCATTTAGATCTTGGGTCATTTGGTTTTGAACTACTGTCGAATTACTGTTGTGTTGCAAAGTGCAAGGAATTCTGATGCCTCCTTCTCGATTTAGTTCCACTTCCCCAACACAAGCTGCCCCAGAAACCGCTCCCAGCCCATGTCCGTTTGGCACCTGAGGTGAGCAACAGACCTCTGCTGAAGCTAATCCTCTCCTGTAGTAGTTCTGCAGCTTTTCAACATCCTCTTCCCTCTCTTCATCCTCTTCTTCAATTCCAGCATAGTAAAGACCAGAAGGCTGGACAGAATGATCTGCAGATCCCTGCAAGAAACGATGAATTTTCCCACGCAACACCAGAGCAACTTTGGGATTAGGCTGCCTTCTCTTTGGTGCTGAAGTTTTCTTTTTTGGTCGGGGATATTGAGGGACGCCTGTGCCATCCTGTCCATTGCAGCGGTTGCGGGAGAACATCGTTTTCCTCCCTTCTTCCGTACTGTAGAGCTGAATCACATTACTCAGGCTTGAAATACAGCATCTGATGATATAAGTGAGAGATTATCAGTCGACTTAAGCGGAGTTAATTCCATGACTATGGGGGAAAAGTACATCTTAAAGCATCACACCAGTGCAAATTTACCGATTTGGTCAAGAAAAGTACATGACTGATTATGCATTTGGTACTATACCTTCAATTTAGTTTACAGTTAATTTCCTCCCTTATCAAAGTTTTGTCATGTATTTGCAACAACACAAAGTAATCAACAACACAGAGAATTTATCTTCTGCATATCTTCTGACTCACCCAAAGCGCAGTTTGATCAATGGTAGAATACACTGAAAGTGTCCAACTATTAATTTCCACATTACCTGGTCCAAAATACCATTGACAGTGGCAAAATTTATTTGAATTATGTGGAAATGTGCCCTAATTATATTTATGCCAAAATGAGCAGCTCTCTTAGGCTGACTAGCATTTAAACACACAGAAAATGATCCCTTTGTTTTTATCTCGCAAACAAAAATCTACCACACACAAACGTTCACCTAAATAATGTGAAAATTAGTGAAGCAAACACATATCTAAATAAATCAATCAATCAAACAAAAATGTATAAAAGTGAAAGGAAATAAAGTAACATAATACTAGCATTCTAGCAGTAATACACAAAGACTGAAAATGCAACATCACTGCTAGTGAGAAACATTCAACAGATAAGAACAAAAGATAAACTAAATACCTTTTAAGAACATTCACTTAAATCCATGGCAACTCAGTGCAACAGTAAAGTAATATAGCAACACAGCCCTGACATTATATGATATGCAATTTCTACTAGTACATATAGAGGTGTGTGCTACTGAATGCATAAATCAATCAAAATAATGTTTGCCTACAACAGAGCTGCATTAAAACCACAAATGGCTGTTCACTTTGAATATCTTAGTGCATCATACTATTTGCTATGCCTGTCTCATTCTTTATGCATACTAAAATACGAAATACAGCAAGATACAATCTTGTCATGGAAAATCTGAAAATTGATTTTCAGTATATAAAAATAACTGGAATTTTAGGAGAGCTGAAGAGGCATGCTGGCTCATCGACTCCTTGTGGAGAGTTAATTAAGCAGAGAAAATGTCACATGCTTGTGCAAAATCACGTGACACTGGATCAGTAGCTATGGAAACCATGTGCTATACCTGCAGTCAGGTTCTCTATACTAAGATGGCAATTACCTGCAAAAAACTCACTCGTCCATGTTTTTTTTCCCATCAATGTTTCTCTTTGCTTTTGCAATACTGTTATCTACTCCCAAGCATCAACTTAAGACAAGTTACACATGCAGGCAATCAGGAATTGCAAAGCGACCCATGGATGATAAACTGGTATAGCTCAAGAGAGAGTCAGTTATTCTGCTTATCTTATTTTGACACCCTTGTTCTGTGAGTCTGCATGCTGCATATATTTTTTGACAGACACCAACTGCATATTTTAGCAGTCTCTTCCAAATATGTACACGGTCGAGTATGTCTCTCTGAGGTGGTGTTAGATTGGACAGTAAAGCTGAGAGAAGATGAGTTATAGTGTGGTTAAACCACAGTGTTAGACATGGTGTGAGCTGAGGCAGAAGTGTTATATGTGATGCATACCTTAGTCCTTCTGCATCTCCTGTCTCGATTGTACACTCACACTTGTCTAACTAGCAACAACTGGATGTGAGTTTTCAAAAGCCAAACATTTTTATGCCACATTTTGTTTACACAGTCTTATGCTTCACTAGTCGGCTTGCATGCCTCACAGCCTCGCCTTTTCACCTTGTCTTTTCCACACTCTCTCTCTCTGTCATTCACTGAAGGTAAGGGCATTCAGGGGTGAGTGATCCACATAAGCACAGTGAGAAGCACACTAATGTGGCTTTTTAAAATCACTGAAGCACAAGGGCTAAAGGTAACACCCCGTGGTAACTAGGATTTACACAAGCTTCAGTCTGGATCCAGAACACCTGAGAAGAGATGATGCAACTCCTCAGAGGACCTCAGATGATGCCAACCCTGAAACAACATACAGAACTACCACATTTTGCTATAAGTTTGATTGCATCATATAATAATTGCTGTTAATATTATTCATCGTCTGTTTTATTACGTCTTATATTGATTTTTCCGTACTGCTGGTTCGTCTGGTCAGAGGAGAACTGGCCCCCCGACTGAGCCTGGTTTCTCCCAAGGTTTTTTCTCCATTCTGTCACCGATGGAGTTTTGGTTCCTTGCCGCTGTCGCCTCTGGCTTGCTTAGTTGGGGACACTTCATTTCCAGCGTTATCGTTGACATGATTGCAAAGATATTATTTAAACTGAACTGAGCTGGATGTTGACATCACTGAATTCAATGATGAACTGTCTTTAACTGAAAAATGAGTGTTTACTATTGTCATTTTGCATTATTGACACTATTTTCCCAATTAATGCTGTTCAGTTGCTTTGTCACAATCTGTATTGTTAAAAGCGCTATATAAATAAAGGTGACTTGACTTGACTTGACAAGGGCTAAAGGTAACACCATTCTGCATGTATGCGTTTTGCCCAAATCTTCAAGGCATGCGTTTGCTGTCTACCTAAAAGCATCGAAGACAAAGGCACAGAACAAACAGAGGCATAGGGGATGCTGGAAGGAGAAAGCAGAGGGTAAACACACTACCACGCACAACAGTAACTTTTAAGCATGGAGCACATTCACCTCAGTGAGATGCTGAGACAGGATGGTAGGAAAAAAAAAAAAGGTATACGAGAAGAAAAAAAGAAAAAAAAGAGGTGCCAGGCAAAGTGAGGCGTCTGTGACACTGAGTGCTTGAGGAAGGTTTCACTTGGGGTAGCTAAAATCATTTCAGAGTCATTTCACCCAGCCCTACAGCTGTCCGGAAGACGCTACACGTTACTATTCTTAAGTTTCTACTGCAGACATTATAAGGGCAAAAATGCAATTCCAGTGTTTGAGTTCCAATATTTCATCCCCTTTTCCTGCACAAAACAGATCTTATTACCGAAATCAAAAACAAATGATTAAAAATAATAATGTTTCTCCTAGGCAACAAACATTAAGCAATTTTCATTACATACAAATAATTTGACTTTTAAAATTAGTTTACTGGGTGCAAAAAAAAAAAATCCATTAAAATAATTTAATAGGTGAAATTTGTATCTATATATGTGTGTGTGTGTGTGTGTGTGTGTGTGTGTGTGTGTGTGTTGTTTTTTCATGAGTGCAGTGATCCAAAGCTCCAAAGCGCATTAAATAAATATAACTGATAATGGTCATCAACACGTATTAACCATTTTATTGCCAAACTGAAGAAAATGTTTGTTACGGACATAATACAATAGAAGGTTAAAATAAACAGCTTCTTCGTGACTGCAAGATTAATTTGAATTTGAATTGGCAATGACTCCTTCAGAGCTCACAGCTTTGCATACCACTTCTCACATCTTTCATGTACTGTACTATATTACAAGTGAAACAGAGTAATTGTCTGTAGGTATAGAGCACAATGTGATGAAAGCCAGGGCTTTTAATTAATCTTGCAATTCACTGGGCTTTAGATTCGGTTCAAACACGTGTCTTCGCTGTCACTACCAGACACTGTGACCTTGCTACATACAGAAGACACACTCTCTATAGTACACACATAGAAGATTCAAATCTGTATGCCAGAATTTTTCATTGTGAAAATATTACATCTTTCTTAAAATAGAAAATGATTCTAACTATACGGCAAGCAAAGGCACAATTATAGAAAATTGCTGTGACAATCTATTTCACGTTCTCTCATACTGACCCATGTCCCATTCTCATTTTCACAATCATTTAATCCAGACAGTCAAGTGAAATGACCAGACATTCATCTACCAAAGCAAAAGCACTGGCACACAGTCTAAACAATGTCCTTGGCAGATCTATTCTTCACTGTAATCAGCTACATATTTTCAGGTATTGATCATTTCATTGATCATACTGTGTCTAAATGTTCCTTCAAACATCCAAAGCAAATAAGAACAAAAAGAAAATAACTTTTCAAAACAACAGGTTGTGTGGAAGAGAAGAATATTTAATATAGAGATGCATTGTTTTTTTTCTCATTCAAGAATAAAAGGCCAGAAATGCATAGAAGGTCAAGATTGAAGAGCTTGTTGATCAATACATACAGTACAACCTGACCTTTGAATTTAACTTGGCTACTTTTTTGCATGCAAACTAAGTAAATATAAAATCTGCCACACATTCAAAATGAAACGCAAGCATAATGATGGAACAACAACCTGTTGACTTCACTGCAGTCACTGCAACTAAATGAAAATAAGAGTGAGACAACCAGCCAGCTCCATATTACTTATTTACATATTACATATTACCATATTACATATTACAGCTATATTACTGGACATGCACTAAATTACAATAAAGTACCACTAACCAACACGATTACACTCAAACTTATATCAATGGATGCATGACACCTAAGATAAGAGAGGAAAGCATTCAGATGATTAGATTATTCCAGTTTATGTCTAAATTGCATAAAACTATATACAGTAAATAGAGTAAGAAATCATACACAAATAATTTAAACAATATATTTAAATAGTGCAACAAAATACAGAAAATAAAGCAAAACCTTTTCTAAAATGTTGTAAAAGCTTGCAATAAGATACATTCTCTAAATACTAACCTAAAATATTATCTAAAAATGTGAAGTATTTAAAGAAAAAAAAACATAAAACTTACCACGTTGAAGGTGCACAGATCAGTTAAACCACATGTGTATGTGAAAAATATCATGAGAATTTTCCAACAGAGTGGAATTATAAAAAGAGCTCCACATTGTGATTCCAATGTCCATAAAAAGGGACTGGTCAAGTCCAAAGGTAAAATAAATGTCAAAAATACAGTGAAAATGGCAGATTTAGCTTTTATCCAAAGCTCCAGGGAGCTTCCACAATA